ATAAATAGGGAAATACTGGTCAAAGAGGGACAAAAATCTCAGTGTTCTTTTCTCCTGCAGGCTGTGGATTATTTTCTTCTCTTCCTCTCCCCTCCCCACATCCAATTCGCTCGGTTCCCTGTCCTTTCGGGAGCACTAAATTCATCATGTGAATGTAAAGCGGGGCTTGTGCGGGGAAGGGAGCTGCGGTTCGCTCCAGCAGACGCATGCAAGGTCACACGCAGCCTCGCCATAAATTACGGCGTGTCCCACTGTAAACAGCAACAGGAGAGGGAAGCGCAGCGGCTGCGGGGGCAGGGGGCCACGGGGGCCGATACATAACGTTGTGACAAGTCAAACAACTCTCAGGGTGTTCACTTGCCAGAGAAATATTTTTCACATCCAATCCATTAGGCAAATAAGATGAAAAAGTATTTCCTACTTTGCAGAAAAAAAACAGGACTCAGTATAAAGCATGTCAAAAAAAAAAAAAAGAGAAAAGAAATTAAGTGTGACCATCTATAATGGTTTTTTTCCAGCAGGTCTGACAGCCTTCCAGGCATCCCGGCCATGCAGGGAGGGAGCTGATGCTTTAAAGAGTTCTAACAGTTTCTCACTTTTTGGCCTGTCCCGGTGTTGCAGGAACAGTAATGAGTCAGATTAGTTGAAAAGAAACATCCCCAGATTTGCTTCCCTCCCTCCAAACCTGCCCCACTCCACTGAACCAAACCCAAATCCTTTGCTGCTTTTTCTTTTTCCCCTTCCCTTTTCCTGCCAGGTCAGTGGGGAATGTGTTTCATGATATGCTTCTTTTTTTTTGAAACCTACAATAGGATTTTCGAAATAAGAAGATCCTCCCAAACTTTGCCTTTCTTGCCGGCTGAATTTTCTGATATGTTTGTGCAAGTGAAAATCCAAAGGGAAAATGCTTCTTCCAAAGGTTTTGATCACTTCTAGTACTGGCAATCATCTCTGATGGGAAGACAGGAGCAGTGGAAGAGCAGCTCCATGTGCAGACTGGGGGCTACTTGGGAAGAGACAATCCTCAGCTGATCACTGTCAGAAAAGGAACCTGCTGAAGAAGAAAGGATCAGCCCCAAACACCAGTTGTCTTTCTACTAAATTTTAATTTATTTCCTTTTTTTTTTTTGACAATGACATCTATATTATACACGGAGTAACAATATGACCAGATATTGAAAATATCCCTTTTTGATGAAATTCAAAAAGGGAACATAAAAGAAAGAGCTTGTGTGGACCTGGCCAGCCCAGGGAATGCAACAGCTGCCACCTTTTGCTTTCGGAGAAGAGCGAGCCCTGTGGGGCAGGGGCGTGTTGGAATGGGCTGGTCTCATCCCAGACACTTCATAAAAGAGTTTGGAGACCAGTTATAGTTTTGATAGAGAGAGAAGTCATTAATATGCAAGAAACAGTGGGGAAAATGGGAGAAGGTTGCAAGAGGCTTTGGCAAGCATTCCTCAAGGGCAGGGAGACACATTCTCCATCAGAGCTGCAGTGGGGGACATGGCCACAGCTAGGGGAGGACAGGAATCCCCACATCCCGTGGTCAGAGCAGGGGCTTGGGCTCAGGTTTTCTGATGTGCCCTTGGAGAATTTCACTTCTCCAACACCTCCCCCTCCAGGGAACACAACGGGGCAGGAGCAGGAGAGGCATCTTTCATCTGTCGCAAAGGTGGAACCATATGTAAGCACATGAAAGCGAACCATGACAAACTCCCCACGGGAGGGGCATTAACCCCCGCAACAAACTTCTCGAAGCCTGGCGTGGGTCTGTCTGTCACTCCAAGCCTTAAAATCAAGGCTGGGTGTCTTCCTACCAGAGGGGCTCTAATTCAACCGCGCGTCACCACCGGCAGGGTGGCGTTTAATGGGCTGTGTTACACAGGAGGTCAGGAGAGAGGAACATAACGATCCCTACCGGCTTTAAAAAAATCTATGAATTGATGCAATGTGTGGCAGAGCTCCACCCATACCAATGAGACATTTGCTTCCTCCAACCTCACCTAAAGGAGGGCAGAGCAGACAGTGTTGGAAGGACAGAGCCGTGCACAGCACACGCCGTTACCGTAAACTGGGGCTGAAGGGCTGGGAGAGGGGCAGGGGTTGTGCTGGTCGCTGGCAGGAGCTCCTGGCTGGCCCCAGACAGTTATACAGGTGGCAGTTAGCCAGGTGCTGTCCAGGGCAGAGAGCCCTGCAAACGGCATAGCAGATGTAAATGTATTCAGGTAAGGAGCAGCAAGTGAACAGAACCTCAAATCCTTTTACATTTTCACCAGGTTGCACAGACAAATGTATACAAGACAATCAGCAATTACAGCCATCACTGCAGGGTGATATACCTAAGAAATGGCCATTTTAACCCTCCACCTCCATCCTCCCAGCACAGCTCACTCCATCACAATCTTCCTCTCTTACTACCTAGCACAGGAAAACCAAATCAACTACTGGATGCCAGGTGAGGCTCTGGCAGGTACAGATGCACACAACCAATACATTGTGCTATACATACAAACATAACGAATGAGCCAGCAAACGTCTCTGGATCCTGAGTTCAATAAGGCAATTTTCCCTTCCCAACTAAAGCGATAGGGAAATTACTATGTACTCATTTTACACATATTTCCAAGTTTAACCAATGTGAGACTGAAAAAAAATTTACAAATTACCCTCCTAGATGCTTTTTAGGTCCAGGAAGCCAACTGTGGCACAGGTGGAGTGTCACAGAGTAAATTTGCTGCTGCTAAAAACATAGGGAGCAGGGAAGCACCAACTAAAGTCCTTTGCAAGTGAGAAGGATCAATGCCTGAGCCCCCAAGGGGATCTTGTTCTGTCCTGCCTGGAGCAGAGGACGGGTACCCAAGCATCTCCCTCTGCATCTGGGATGCAATGCAAGCAAATCCAAAACTCGGGAGTATGCCACAAAGCTCTGCCACTGAGCCAGCACCAAGCATGCCGACAGGAGAGGACTGCAATTCTTCACAATGCTTGCATCGGGCCAGTGCATTAATTGCAAGGAAAAGGTGATGCTGGGATGCATTTCTCCTCCTTGAGCTGACCCACGATCATGCCATGCTCGAATTTGCAGCGTTCCTGATAAGCCGTTGCAGCTGGGGAGTCACCGAGCAAGCTGTGTTTAAATGAACATCTCATCTTATGACTCCTTACTCAATCCATGCAAAGCCGGAGCTGTGTCACTTTGTGTCATTAGCGATTGCTTAACATCTCACTTGAGCCCTCTCTTCCCCCCCTCCCCAGTCGTCTGGTTTTTTCAAGCAAGGCTGTGCTACTCCGGCATGCATGTCCTGCCTCCGTGCTGGAGACAGATGCACTCGGAGGGTGCTGACTCACGGACGCAGGCAGATTAAAGTTGGATTGCTAGAGCAGTTGCTGTCCCAGCTGTCCCTCTGCCCCCAGCCACAGCAAAGACAGC